CCGCTTTCTGCCAGGACTCTCCAAGGACATCATGCTCTTGCGGGCAGCATGCAACTCTATAGCAGGGATGATATATGGCCCGCTCTACGAGAACAGGTTCATCCGCATTCGCTGCTGTTGACATGCTCGCCGTAGTCATTGTCGTGAACGGAACGGTTTCGACAAGTTGTAATTCGTGGCATGTCGAAAAACTTCTTTTGACATTATGTTCCACACGAGTCTTTGATGGATGGTCGGCATACCTTGTGTGAACACTTTACAAGAATGCGTTCGCAAATGTCAGAATTCGGAAAACTTGAAGTTTTCGATCATCGTTGCAAGCTGATGGAATGTTGGAATCAGATCATACGAATGTCGCAGCTGCACCAAAATGTGAGAAGCCACATGAACCCGATCCTTGTGACAGTGGGCACCAGAAGCCAAATAACGCAATTGTGTGTTGCCGCGTCGCTTATCAGCATCAAAGACCGGGATCGTTTGCAACCCGATGGTACGAGGTGCATGAGCTGTGTTAATTTGATAGTCGCAGCTTGAAGAGAGTTCTTCATCTGTCCAATGGCAACAGGGCATGCTGATGGGTTGCGCGCTTGCACATAAGCTGCTGCGTTCATGGCCCTCGCCAAATTCAGTGAGGAGAAACCCCTGCTTTTTGGCTTGTGGCTGGCAATGCTCACATGTCACATGCTTGATGTTGAAGGATTTGACCAGAGCGCTGAAGGAGCAAGGAACTCCAGTGGCGGTTGCCTTAGTTGGCATAAATCCAAACAGTAGATTCGATGAGTTGATCGCAGATTCAGAGATCCGAGCCCTCAGGAATCAGCATTGGATAGTCCTGAAGACACTCCTTGCCACCGGCTGACAGAAGGCAGTACTGCTCGATTCATTGTTAGGAGCGTTGACCGTACCTTTTTGTATGTCGTGCGACATGCCGACGGACTGTCTGATGACATAAGGTTCTGGTACTGCAAGGGCGCTTTCGTTTCATGCACATTGGACGTTGCTTGCCGTCCAGATGTTGGTTTTGACATCTTTGCTCACTTCCGTGGACTGCGAGGATCTCAGACTTTGACTCTGAGGTCTCCAAAAGCAGTAGAAACAATTGGTGGAAGTCGCAACGTCTGCTAAATGCAGAGTCAGTGCACGTTGTGCTAAATGCAGAGTTAGAGGCACTGTTTGTCTGTTTGAAGCATAATCGCAAATGTCCAGAACTTTCGAACCAGCGCATGTGTCGAGGTCTAAATATTGATTGCGTTTGCTTTTGATCTGTCATTGTGTCGCTGCCAACTGGCAGTTCGACGACTGTCAATGTGAACTCTGTGTTCGTTCGTTTCTCCCTTTCGGGCTCTCCTATGCCAGGCAGACTGCCAACACACAAGCATCGGCATCAACCAGCGCTTAGCGAAACGAAGCACAGAAGTGGTGCCAACCCACACCCAGGCGAACTGCCACATCGGCTTGGTCGGGAACGCCAACAGGGTGGCCTTACGGGCTTCTCAACGCCTTGTCTCATTCTATGGAACTGGGCAGGTGTAGCGACCAAGAGCCCACGAAGGACGATGAGAACGAGCCCTTGGAGAATGAACGCCCATCGCCGCTATTTTGTGCTGTCTTTCTGATCAGAGAGACATCATGTTGCTGTTGAACCCAAGGCCCGTCTTCGCATTTCCTTTTCGGCGGCGCTTGCAGCTGCCTCGGTGCATGGGGCTTTGCATCAGAAGTTGCTTTCCTGCGCTTGCAGCTGCCTCGGTGCATGGGGCTTTGCATCAGAAGTTGCTTTCCTGTTGGCGGAATCTTCTGGAGAATCCCGAGATTCGGTCCACAGAATCATGTCAGGTCTGCGGCCACACACAGATGGTAGCTGGGCGCTCAGCATCAATTGTCAGGTGTTGGGGGGTGGTCAGTGATCTTTTTTTGAAGAAGCTTTCCTTTGGCCCTTGCAAGGCTTTTTAGGAGAGTCACATCATGCCTCGAGCTGTGCAGCGACTCAGGCTTGGGCGCCCGGTCTGTTGAGGAGCGAGCCCGGGCCCAGGATTTTCGCTCATGAGGTGCTATGGTGAGACCGAATGAGCTCGAAGCAGAGCCCGACGTAGAGCAGTAGAGAGCAGTAGAGTCAATAGAGCTTGAAGGGGCTCCTTTCAGTTGCGCTCGCTCAGGTCGAGTCCGGCCGGCGCCTGCGCGAGCGAACGAGAGAGCCGAAGGAGCAGAAGCCAAGGGAGCCAGGCACCGCCACAGATCGCGTCGCGCGTGAGTGTGGAATTATGGCACTATCCCGTTTGCAGGGCAGTTTTCAGAATCGCGGAAGCATGTGACCTCCGATGCGGCCTAGCGCTCGAATCCGTGATTGACGGCTGGTGTGTAGTCGAGCATGCAGCCCGAGGCATCGGCGCTAATGCGCCGAGCAGCTGCAGCAGTCAATGAGTAGAGGCCAGAGCAGGTCTGCATCCAGTTGGTTTGAGTTTCATGTTGCAAACGCATTCGGCTTGAGATGGTTTCAGGTTCTTTGCTAAAGCCTGCTGTGAGGCAGGGCGCTGGAGGTGGTTTCTAGGCCTAGGAAGTTCCTCCGAAGGAGAGAAGCGGCAACAAGACCGTGTCACTGCCAACCTTCTGTGTGGTGCGTGGAAAAACAGTCACTGGATAGATAAATTTGCATGTGAACAGGCGAAAGAGCCAACATGCGCTTATTCTTGGGGCTATTCTTGCCGTGCCTTACAGCTCCCGGTTGTCGTGGTCGTCCTGGTCGTTGTCTTATCGCGGTCATGATCGCACGAGGACTTCGGAGAACCGCAGAAAGGCAGCACAAAACCCTGGCCCCAACCCCCGTGGGTCCGTTCACGTTGCTCGCCCGAAGCCCAAATTGGCTCTAAGCGTTCATGTAGAGTCTCTTGACTCGCATCGCTGGCCTCGGCGCAGAGTTCCTGCCCCGGGGCACATACCGATGTTGCCCATGCGTGGGCAGTTTTGCTTGTTTACCGTGATATGTTGGCTGCGTGGAAGTGCCCTGGCTGCTTTACGGCTACATCTGGGACAGGGCGGGGGGAAAGTGGCTGGGAAGATTGTTTTGCGAGGCGCGGTCGACCTTGACCAGTGCGAGGAGGTTTCAAGACCTGCGGGCACCGGCCTGCTCCAGGCCAAGTCACACCTGGACCCCAGCACCTCAGCAGGATCTAACGCCGAATTGGCATGGCGGCCTCGCCATGTCGCGTTGAACTTAGGCCGGCTGCAAGAGGTGGAGTCGGAGTCGGACCTTGCAATTTTGGGCGAGAGCTGGCAAGGTGCCCTGCAACTTCAGGAGCCCGTCCATGCGATTTGTGCACAGCGGTTAGCGGTTCTGTGATTTTTCCTTGCTGGCAGGAGCTTGGTGCTAACAACAGCCTCAACCGACTCGCTGCTCAGTGCCGAAAACAGAAGCGCAAGGCTAAAGCGCAGGTTCCCAGGGTGCCGCTGGAGGTGGCCCAGCAGCTCCGGGAAGTCGCAAGGGCGGACGTGATCCGAGTCGGAGACGATCCCTGTCCGGGAGAGCTCACGCTGTGGCAGTTCTTTCACAACGAAACCACCACGAGCTGAAACTCGCCTTGGTTTGAGCTCGTAACTTGTGCTACCATGCGTTTGCATTCGGGTATTATTTTCAACTGAGGCTGCCCCAGCAACTCCATGGATTGCGCAGGTTGCGCCGTGTTCACGGCCGGGAAATGCCAGAAGTGCGAGGATGGTTATCTCCGTCAAAACGGAACATGTGTGGCCTGCCTCAGCACCATCGACTGGGTCAACGAGAAGGGGGAATCTTGCGACCTGATCAAGGAGGAGGACTGCAACGACAGGCCCGTGAACGGCCAGAGCAGCAAGCAGGCTTGCTGCAAGTGCAAGGGTGGGCACAAGAGCCCGACGCCATTCAAGTATGCGGACAAGCGATTCGCCGTAGGTGTTCCCATCTATTTGGAGCCGTTGCCCCGAACGGCCAGCAGGTACTCAGTCAATGGAGACTGTAACTTGGCTGCCTACAACTTGACGCTCGATGGCAGCACTGGTGTGATTTCCTACCAGGGCTCCATGGCTCGCCCCGTCAAGGCCTTTTCCGTGCAGTGCGAGGTCACGGCACACCAGGGAGTCGGGCTTTCGGAGACAGTGAAGGTGTCGGTGACTGCTGAACACATGACGTACCCGTCTGCTGTTCTCGTCTTCTCCCAGAAGATGTCATCCTACCCCGTCGCTGCTTCGGGCACACTGCAGGATTTCAGTATGGTGTGTGCGCCGGAACAGCCGTGGCTCTCCGTCGATGCCTCCGGCACCGTCACCGCCTCTCAGGCCAGTGCCCAGACCGTGGGCGGCGTCACTGACGCGGGGGAGGACTTCTCAGGGATGGATGGCGGTGTCTGCGTGGTGACAGCCACCGCAGGAAACAGCACCAAGAGGACTGCCACGTTCGCGGCCATCCGACCCCGGCCGTGGCCAGAGTTGGTCTACGAGTCCTCCTATGCAGAGGTGGTCGTCGGTGAGCAGCTGCCGCCTTTGAAGCTGCAGACGCCCAAAGGATACGAAGAAGGCACAGGGGGACTCAAGCCGACCTCCTTCGTGATCTCCTGCACAGTTGGAATTCCGATATGGTCCTACGACCGCAATTGGGGTGTGGGCCTTTTGCAGAATCATCAGATTCTCGAAGTTGCACCCGACGGGAGCATCGCTCTCGCGCCTGGCGAGAGCATGGCCCAGATGTTCGATGAGATAACGGCCTACCAGGCCCATCGAAAAAACTTCCAAATGCGCTGTGGAGTGTATGGTCTTTTCCCCGGGACCGACTTCCAACCAATCTTCACTCAGATGGTCTTTAAGGTGAAGGACAGCAAGTGCTGGGTAAAGGAGCGGATCCTCGGCGAAGTCATCTGGGAGGAGCATACCACTGAAGAGACGCACTGTCGACAGGTCTGCCGTCAATCGAAGGTCTGCTCTCACTTCACGTATGCTGATGACAGCTGCAAGCACTACCGAATCAACAACGTGGAAGGGGTTTCGGTGATGACCTATGCCAAGGTCACAGACTGCACGGACTTGTCAACCTGCATTCGGTTGAAGCATCCTGAATGGATTGTTGCCGGCGACTACTGTCCCGTGGAGTACGACATTCGCCGTGGAGGCCCTGTGTATCAGAAGGACAGCTTGATCCCACAGGAGGTGATGTATCTCGCCAGCGTGCCGGTTGGTTCCACGGCTCAGTGTGCGACAGGAAGCTGGCTGGTGCAAAAGGCGAGACCCGAGGCGGACTACGTGGACACAAAGCTGGGCTACTTCGAGTTGGCTGGTGAAGAGGTGCTCTGCCTGGAGCCAGGGGTTCCCAGCGCGAAGAACAGCACAGACTTCACCGGCCAAGACTTCACCATCACGCTGGACTGGGCCACTTTAGAATGTCCACAGCCACTGACCCACGAAGTGGAAGATGATGTGCTTCATCCTCTCGTCTTCGACGATCCGACGACGCTCCAGCCGGACGACTACTGGCTGCATCCCTGCGACTGCGTTCCACCTGGCTGGGGGTTGGGCTTTCCCGCGAATGCTCTAGTTGCAGAGGGCCTTCCTCCTGCGAGCGATGGTTCCGGTCTCAGCCATCATCTACTGCTTTGTGTAGCTGCCACTGTGGTCCCGCTTCTGCAGTGGGCTGGCGGATGCTGCTGACATCGTAAGGTGTCTTCATTCCGCCACCGTTGCTTATTGTTCAAGGCCAGTTCGCATGCCCCTCCAGGCCGGAGTGATTGTGGCGTGAGAGGCAGTTGCTGTCGGAGTCACTAGGCAGCTCCTTCCGGGGAAGAGGGGCATCTACTTCGAGACAGAGGTGCCCGCGCACATACGGTCGCGCTCAGCGGCGCACCTGCAGGGCTCGGGGGCTCGGGCTGTTTTTTCTTTTCGCCAGGCCGAGGCCTTCGAGAAGGCAGACTGCCAGGAGCGGTGCAAAGACTTCGCTGCGTGCTAAGATTGGTGGAACTTAGGGCGGAAGTTGGAGCAGTGCAGTATAGTGCAGCGCTGAGAAAATGTGCAGCTCAGGTGGACTGTGCCTTCTACTGGACAGGCATCTTGATTACCGCAAGTTGCAGCACTGGCTGTAGGGATTGAGATTTCTAAGGCAGCTCGCATGGAGCTCAAACATGCCGGCTCTTCAACGGATGCGACAGCTTGGTACGGGAGTTCGGCATCGATGGCGATCTCTACGCCTTGCAGCGCCCTCGCCCTCGCACGGAGAGAGCCGTTAATCCGCTTCGCTGTGAGGCCCTCGAACGCGAGCTGCCTGGTGGCGAATCCGGAGCACTGCTGGAAGACAACGATGCGGAGGCAGAGAGTGGACACGAGGAAGTAGTGAATGGCGCGGGTTCACAAGGGATCCAAGGTTATCGGGAGTGGGGACAAGCCTGCCTTTTGTCCAGGCAGTTCCTGACCCAGACCGAGAGCACATCGCCAGCCTTTACGCTCTCTGCCGCCCTCTTCAACCAAGGACAAGTGCATCGAATCTAATGTGCAAGACTGCCTTGCAAAGCACCGGAACTCTGTACCCCAGGAGGCTTAGCCGACTTCCAGGACAACGCCTCCCGAGTGTTGAACCGAGAGGTCACCTACGAGGTCTGGGCGGTTGCGAGACATGTACCCGAGAAGTTGCTTGTTGGCTGGAAGCAAGGAGAAAATGGGAGAGCTATCCACTGTGAAGCTGCTGGGATGGTCAGAGATCTTCAAGCCCTTCGGGTATGCCACTTTGCCGCCCACAGCTTTGTATGCCGGCAGCGCTCGGCCTGAAGCTAAAGCGAGGTGAGAACCATTGGAGGTCTTGCGAGCGCAACAGTGCAGGGCCTGAACCCAAACCAGGAGCTTGCATTCTTTGGCAGCATCCGGATTCTGCACAAACAGTCGTCGGCTCATTCAGCTCGTAGAACGTATGGCTGTTGTTTCCCGAGGAGTACGAGTGGAGTCTTCTTACCCGCAGCAACCAGAAGCAGGTCAACCACAAAGTGGCAGCAACCCGGACCAGAAATCGAATTCTCAGACCCCGTGCAGACATCGGCCTCCTTTGCAGAAACGATCCTTGGTGAGCTGAGGTGAACCATGGCCCGCAGATGACCCTGTCTCAGCCGGAGTCTTCAAAAGCAACGGCGATGAAGCGACTTTCCGAAAAAAGTTTGCTTGGTGAGCCTTGATGCGGTGCACCATGTCGACAACACTTGCGACAGCGGGTGGATGCGGGCGGCCTGAGGCAAGGGAAGTCCACATCAACTCCTCGAGGAGAGCTGGTCTTCGATTTCGAAGCCAGCGAGTTTTCCTTGGCGCCGCAGGCGGGACGGCCTTTGGCGGGATCCCCGTGCAGTAATGGCCCGAGAAAAGACCCCACAGTACGGTGCCCTGCCCCCCCAACATCGTCCCGACATGTCCCGTAGCAGCGGTCGCCTTGCGGTCGGGCAAGCGTTGCTTGCCAGGGTGCGCTTCACTAGGCTGCTATGCACCGCTGAACAAGCAATCGCTGAATAGGATCTTCGAAGCGGGACCGCAACCCAGATCGCTCAGCAGAGCTGCCCTTCGGGCACGATAGTTGCTGGGCAGCATGCTTTCGGGCTTCCATTCAGATGCGCTGCTAGTTGAGAAGGATCCCAAAACGAGACTGTTTGCTCAGCAACGCTCCAGCCTCCACGCACACCCGTGCACTCCTGCAAGCCAAGATGACTCATTGCTCGTGCTATGCGGCTTGGCGAACATTTGCGCACTTCTTCGACTTGTCATGCAAGCATGTGTGCCACGCAGCAGGCAGATTCGGGTATCTGCGCCGGAGCGAAGATGGAGCCGGCGTCCAATCCCACAAGATGCAGAGCCTACGGGACGCTTGGAAGCGGACATTTTAGGCTCCCGAAACCTTCAAAGGAGCGCAGACACCCGAGCCGAGGAGCCGGGAGGTCAGCGGATGGTCCTCCAAAGACGTGTCGGTGCGAGCTCACGCGCGCTGCTTGAAGATGGAGCGCCTCGGGACAAGAATGGCCAGGGGCTGAGACAAAGCCGTGTTCCTTCGGTCTCCGAGGTACGTCCGCGATCTGCAGGTCGTCACATCCAGCGGTGCCAGCTTCAGCTCCTCGGATGCAGTGCTTGCAGATACACGAAATCCCGCAGAGCAGAAGGCGACAAGGACCAAGGAAAGCAAGTCACGAAATTCTGTGGTCATTGTTCTCCAGCACAACCGGCCGCTCGTAGAGCAAGCGGGTCTATAGGCTAGAACATGCTGAAACCAGAACTGGTCTGACTGACCACCACGAAGTCGATACAGGCCGTCCCGAAAATCAGGCTTTCTGCAGGGCGGGGCTGCAGCTGGCGACAACTTCTCGGAGGATGCCATGGAAGCGGACGAGGGTGACGTCGACCTTGAGGTAAGTTCACAGCTCAGTTCACTTGGCTACTTTTTTCAGACGCCACCGGTAGTATCGGTTATCGGTTGTTACGAGTCGAATTCAAGGTCTGGACGCTGATGGTCATGCCCGCGAGGAAGACGAGGAGGCTGCATGCCTTCTCTTGGGAGCAAACTACTTGCACATGCACGTCCGGCAAGGCCACGGAGCTCGATCTCGGTGGAAGCCTCGGCAAGAAGGCAGAAGATGGGACGGGATCCTCGCGTCCTACCTAAGGCGACAGCGAGGAAGCCGATGAAGCTGAAGCTGACGAAGCTGACGATACGGATGCTGAAGCTGCTGAGACTGCTGAGACTCTGCAATGCCAGACGCAGCCGCAGCCCGAAACTGAACTTTGGCACATCCCAGGTTGACTCCGAAGATGAAAGTGAGCCTTCCGAGGACCCGAACGCTGGTGTTCATCTGATTCATCTCATGCCCTGCGTTTTTCTTGTGACAGGGGAGTCTCAAGAGGTCGCTGCTGGTAGTGACCGGCAGTGACAAGGAGCATTGATAAATGGACGATTTTGGTGTTCTGAATGTGTTCCTTTTCTCAGGCCGGCCCGAAAGTGGAACCCTTCGGATAGGGCACCCGGATTGGGATAATTTGCTGTGGACTGTTTCCAAGGTCTTCCATTGCAAAAGTGTTCGGACAGTGTTGCGGTGTTCCGGAAGTGTTCCGAGATGATCCCGGTGCCCGGGCACACGGGCTGCGACCCTAGACCCGTTTTGCATTTCCAACCAGCGATTGTAGCGAAAGTCTTCTGCGGCTCAGGTGCGCGGGCCCGTTTCGGAAAGCTTTTGGAACAAGAAACATGCTTGGAACAACAACCTTACGTTTTAAGAACGCTTTCTCAAAGCAGTATTCTGTGAAAATGGATGGATTTTTTGCAACAAAATCGCCTCTGCCTCTTACCGACCCTGTTCAATACGGACTGCGTGTTGCATGTGGCCAGGACGAGGATGACGAGATGGTGCCATTCAAGTCGGAGCACGGCGTTGTGCTGGCCCAAGAAGGCATGGAGTCAGGCTGGGCCTTGCAAGCTGACAGATTGCAACCGTTTCATGTAAATCTCATGCTGCTGCTTTGTGGTTGTGTAGTGCTACTAGTTGCACGGCGTGACATGCACGAGCGGAAGCTGCAAGTGAATCACAGCTGCTGTCGCTCGAGATTTCGAAAGTTTTTTTCAGTGCCCTTTTCGCCTCGCGTTGCTGACCTGCAAGTTGTGCTCTTGGGTTGGCTAGGGAGTGCAAGCCTTAGCAGCACCCGGCAACACAAAGCCACCTTGGAGGGCAGTGTTTGGCGAGGTATTGGCCGGTGCATCAGCACCAGGCGTGAAACGCCTGATTTGGAAGGTCCCTCTGATCGGCTGAGGAGGCGGAATATCAACATCACTGTTGTGAACGACTCGCGAGCCCCTCCTAGTTTCAAGCGCAGGTTCCGAGCCACCTGTTTCGAGCTCCGGTAGTGCGTCTAGCAGACCCGCCGCATCCCACGCAAACATGCAGGCTTTTTGGTTTGACCTGGGCCCATCGATCTATTTCGGTTACATGCTCTTCTTCAGTTCTGCGCTTGGCTTCCAGTTTTCGAGGCTCTGGCAAGGATAGTTTCAGACGGCCTACTTTCGGGCTCGTGAGGCCGCCGCAGTCGCCGAGGTGTTCACATAACCGTTCCAGCCCGCCCTCCCGGGAGTTTGCTTTCGTTTCACCCTTGTTTCAAAAGGCATCAGTGGCCCGTATGGTCATAGTGCTGCTTGCGTTCCTCGTTGGCCAGCTTGTGCAAACCTCGTTCTGTTGCGGCCAACTCGGGACACTTAACGCAGCGTGCAAAAGAGAGTGCCCATCCGTTGATCATGGCCAGCATGGGACCCGGTGGACATGCGATCGGCGGGCACCCCGCCGATCGCAGCCGAAGTGTTCGAGAGCCTGCATGTCCTGACGGATGACGACATGCGCATCTTGCTCAGCATGTCTGGTCTTGCGCAGCTGCGGCGTCTTATGGGCCTGGGACACCCTTGCTCCTCTCGCTGACTGGCACCACATGCGCGTCGGATCGCAGCGCGTGATGCTGTGCTGGCTTCGCTCGCAAAAGCGTCTTCGGCACCAAGTACGCCCGCAGTCGCATGCAAGACACCTCCAAGGTCGCAGCTTGTGACAAATTAACGCTGCTAAGGCAGGGAAGACGAAGCCGAGCACAGCAGCGCCAGATGCACTGGGAGCAGATGGCGTGCGACGTCAAAGGTTGGTCGGATGGAAGGACCTTTTTTTTCTCGAATCTGACAACCGGGCCACAGGAAGCAGTGGCTCTCGCACACAAGCAAGCTAGATGCTACGCTTATCCTTTGCGGGTCTGGACCACGACCACGATGCAGCGCTCAGACAGCTGCCGGTGAGGGAGCCGGACACAACCTACGTGGTTGTTTTGCCCGCACAGTCTCGATTTGGTTTATTGTCGTGTCGCTGATTTCATGCCTTGGTTGCGAAGCGCCTCTGCAAAGGTTTGGGTTGTTCGCAGCCTCTTGAGCCGAAACGGGTAATCCAGGGCGTCGACATCGTGGCTAGCAGCGGTTCCATCACTCAAGATCCAGGCACAGCAGCTCGCCGTCAACGCTTTGATGATTTGCTTCGCGCGCAGCAAACCCGGCGCTCACGAACGACCCCCGGCCGGGCATCCGGAAAACAGCAGGTCCGATTGCGTTGGATTTGTCTTGACAGATTCTACATGTTCTTCTAGACGACCGGCTGCATCCGCGCGAAGCGGCCAGCAGGGCTGGAAGGCGGCTGGAAGGCTTCAGTTTCATTGTGAGTCTTTGCTGGGTCGGTCACATGCCGAAACCGCTTTTTCGACGAGCTCAGCTGACATGAGGTATCAAGGTTGGGTATTCAATTCCCAGCTTCGTCATGGGTCGCTCATTGCGGTGGTGCGTGAACAACTCTCGGCCCGCAGATTTTGTTTCGCCCTCCCTCCCACCCTCCCACAACAGTAAAGGTTTGCTCAAACTTGCAGGTGGTGCCCTCACCAAAACGAGGAGATTCCACATTGGCGATCCGCTCCGCCGCACTCCTCAATGGGGCTTTGTCTGCGCTGCTGGCAGGGAGACTTGAGACTACGCCCACTTCCGAGTACGCAGCAACCGCGGTGCATACATCTACATGCTTGAGGTGGTCGTTCAGATGTTCGCCATGATCGACGCGCATCATCATCTTCGTCGACAGCGAAGCCGCACGCCAGCAGTGTTTGTGCAAGGGGCTTCGGCAAGCCGGGTTCCTCCAGCACGCATGGAGATTCATCGAATCTCATGTGCTGCGCTCCACTTGCATCTTCCATTAACGTCAGCGATGACATCAGCCATGGCAGCTTCGTGCACGCAGTGGCCGAGGGATGGACTCGGATCGAGCACGGTTTGGGTGCGTACTCCGATGAACTTCTACTGTAATTTCGGACGTGCAGTGAGCGTTTCAGCGCTATCGGTGTGCGTTCAAGGTTCAGGCGTGCAAACTTACACAGATTTGCACCGCCTCGCCTCGGACGCATCTGAGACGCTGTTCGATCCCAGATGCGTTGCCTATTGTTTTGAAACCAAAAAAGATGGCTTTCTCTTGTGCTTGTGCGTCAGTATCGTCAGTCAGATGTTTGTGCAGTTTCCGGCGTGCAATCGTGGCGCCGGCGCCGGCGGCGCCGCTATCTTGGCAAAGAGAAATGCGCTTGTATCTTGTCATTACTCGTGTCCGCTTGCGTCCGCTCGGACATGCTCCTGAGGTCGCCGCAGACGTGCACGCAGAAGACGCGCCAGGCGGTTTTCCACTCGAATCGGGGTTAAGAGAAGCTTTTTTGGCGTGGGGTTTAAGTTGACCTTTGGCAGTGTGTCTTCCGACAACTAGAAACTATGCAGAAAGATAGGCGCAGACGCGCCCGCCGCAGACGCTCTCGGCGTAGACGCACGTTGCCGGCACAGGCAACACGGATTTTGGCACATCTGTGATTTCCTCATGCACGCATGTCAATGTGTCTCAGGTGTCTGCGTCGTGTCCCAGCGGGAAGCGACACTTGGCAAGATGGTGTGCGGGGAGCATCTTGTTTGGGTCGAAACAACACGGGTCAAGGACTCCTCTCCTGCTCATGCTATCCGGACGACTTCAGGGAGAAACAGGGCCATTGGACTGACGTCCGCCATCACTGCAAGCGGATCTGGAGGAATGGTGACAGTTGCAGGGCGAAAGGTACCTGCGAGCAAGTGGTTGAGTATTTTGTAATTTTGTCATCGTATGACTGCAGCATGGTGCTGAGGCTTAGTCTTGTTCGTTTGCTATCAGGTGGATATGCCCAAGCTTTGTGCGCAAAGCTCGATGATCCAGCAGCTCGCGAACCCCGGCTGGAGAGGGCCGTTAGATGAGAGCCTGGGTTTAGATAAATGCACCGAGGAGTGGGAGGATCGCTCTGCCGAGGGCTGGTACTGGTCGGACAAAGAGGATGGGACTGAACTGTTTTACAAGTCCTCGCTTCAGCATGCACTAAACACATACTCCACACTAAAGCACCACACCATGCGATGTTATGTGCACTGCAGCCATTCACAGCTGGAAAAGTATGCACATGTCACATGTGCTTGGTTTGTAAGTGCTGTGTTTCAGGGTTTACGGGCCCCTAAGAGTCTGGCCGCCGCAGGAGGGTCCGGTGGCAAGCTGTCCTTCTCCGAAGGTCCTGGTTGGGTGCTGGTGCCAGTCGCTCAGCGGTTCCGAGAAGGAGTGCGCTCGCCTCTGGACGGATGGTAACAACTGCCGTGCCAGAACGGGCCCCGGGAGAGTTGTCCGAGGCCACGCTGCCAGAGTA